TATTTCCTTTAAGGATGTGTTTAGAATAATACCATTTTAAGTATTTTTTTCTTTTTCCATATTGCTTTCCCCCCAAACAGTTGTAATTAGAGGTAAACCTTTGAGTGTCCATGGCACTTATCTGTACCATGGACTCAGCGAAAATAATATTAGTGATTTCAAGCCCCAAGAACGTTCATTTTTACTAACCATGAAGATAATAGTTTTATCACCCGAAAATTTTGTATCTATACACTTAAGACAAGTTGATGTGATAAACTCTTGCCACCTCATGTGGATGAATCCATTAGTAATAAATGAGGCATAAACACTACCAGTAATCTACTTTAACTTTAGTTTCTTTATGCATTTGACCAACATTAAAATTAACTCTGAAAACTTTTTGAACAACTTTCATAAGGCCTCTAAGACAATATCTTGACTATATTAAAATGGAGCCTTCTGTAGATCTATTATAGCCTATTATACATACGCTGTTACAGGGAATGCATTGTGAAGGAGAGGAGGATGGGTGGGCGTGCCTGTGGTGGTGGCCACACTTGTAGTCCCTGGCTGATGATGCACAGGTAATATGCCTGTGGGAATTGAGCTTGTATTTTTTCTGCAAGCCCTGAGTAAATGGAATAAAAGTAGTTGGTGATTAAAACTGTGATTACAAAAGAAGAAAACCTGGTACACACATTTATCTACTTTCTAATTTTATTTAACTATTGCTGTTGGATGCCTATCTCCAGAACAGTTTGTTACCTTTATTCCTCCTTGTTTCATATTACATATATTTTAAATCAATTACCTATATTTTAAAATGATTTAGATGCTTTAAATTGTTAAAATTTTAAAGTTTTTAACTTTTTGATTATAGTTGATAAAGATGTTAGAAATTATTTCTGTGTAGCTTTAAAGATATCAACAGCATGTACATATTTTAAATCGCATTTAGGCAGTTTAGCTAAGCTTTGCAGTGGCTTTTAGAATGCATGTACTGCCTGTGTGAGGAAGCTAAGTATATGAGAATTAAAATTTACACATTTAGTAATAACTAGGAGATTGTCAAGGTAATATATAGGAGGCTTTTCATAATTGGATTTCTTTGAAATGGAGAATGTTGTGGCTGTGTTTAAAATGATGTCTTATTTGAAAATGTCTACTATTCTGCTTTTCAGAAGTATATACCTTACAAAAATGAGTTTTACTTCTTTATTTCTTATATTTCATAAGGAGACATTTTGCAAAGAGTGTCAGCAAAAGCATATTTCTTTTTATGATATTCAGCATTGGTGACAAGACTAGGTGGCAGGCTTGTCTGGTCCTATAAAAACTGGTAATTTAATTGAAATGTACTTAGAAAATTTTTAACACCATGATTTTCTTTCAGTAAATTAAGATTTTAAAAATTGTTAGTTATGTTAAGCAGTTTTATAAGAACAGAAGGTATAACCAACAGTATAGAAACTAGAGATGAAAATCACCAATCTAGGCACTTGTCATTGTTTATACACATGTGTGTACACATGCTGCATAAATGCCTGTTCTGGACCCAATAAAAGGCTCTGCATCAAAATGAAAATGACACTAAAGGCATGAAGTAAGGGTTTTAGCTACTGCTACACAATAAACACCTGAGGTTGCTTTTGTATCCACATTTCCCCCTCTTTGCAGAATTCTTTGAAACAATAATTGCACTTCAAACTCTTTTAATATAGCTATGACTTGGTGGCATTGTGGAATAAATAGCTTGTGTAGCCATTTGAATAACTGTGCAGTTGTTTGAGGATGGAAATATGGGGGGGTTGTGGCCATTGACTCTCTTGTTGCTATCTTAGAAAAGATTCCCATGCAGAAGTATTTTCTTCACTATAGTAATAGTACTGAAGAAAAATTCCACTTACATTATCTTATTTGATCTTCCTAGTCAAAATATGCTTTTTCAGAAATAGAAATTGAGACTATGTGCAGTGATTGTCTAGGGCATTGGCAAGACAGGGATTAGGTTTGGGTTAACTGTTGCCCCTACCTCCTTCCTGCTTCACTCCCCTCTCTTCCCCCTCACACCTCTTCCCACCACAGGCTTTGCTCCTGAGCTCACTGAATCCTTTGGAATTTGAAATACTTGAACAGTAAATAAATAAAATTTTATGCATATATCAGTAATGTATAAAATGCAGCA